CCCTTCCTCCGCCTCTGTTCCTTCCTCCTGCTGCTGCTACTGCTGCTGTCACTGCTGCTACTGCTGCTGGCAGCATCAGACCAAGACTGAATTACAGCGGGGCAGAGATGCTGAGTGAGGCTGCTGGCAGCCAGGACGGACTGGAGTAATTCAACAAACTCTCTCCAACCTTCACCACCGCAACCAAAAAATGACATCATCTGAACAGAACAACAAGAAATAAGAACATCAGAACAACAGAAGCAGTGGACAAGGTCACGGTGCTGCGGAGGGTCTGGACAGGACCCCAGTCTGACCCCAGTCTGACCCCGGTCTGACCCTGCTGTGACATCAGCTGACCTGTAGGGCCAGAGAGGACCAGTACAGGTCTGTACTGCAGTACAGTCATTGACACCTGTCAGTCACCACAGTAAGGTGACATTCTGATGAACACGGTTTCATCTTCAAACCTGTAGGTCTGCCACCTACAGGTGTATCGTGGTACTCAGATACCAAGTATACATTTTCTAAATAGTTCTTAAATATTTGATCAAAACAATTGAATTAAAAATTTCAAACGTATTAATGATTATGTAAAAGAACCCAACACTGCTCAGGCCTCATCAGTGCTGCTGCTGACCCTGACCCTGACCCTGACCCTGACCCTGACCCCGACCCTGGGCTGGTGAACAGTGAACAGTTTTTTTTAAAGTTTATCAACGTGGTCTTCATCATCAGTGCCATCAGAGGAGAAACAGCTCCACTGTGAAGAAAATGTTTCTCAGAGATGAAACATCTTTGATTTCTTCATCTCTCTAATTAGCTTCAGCTCAGCCTCGACAAAGAAAACACACACACACACACACATCCAGTCAGCCGGCTCCCGCCCCGGCTCCTGCCCCGGCTCCTGCCCCGGCCCTCTGATCTGACATGGACTACATCAACAGTGACTGTAGGACCGTACGTGGACGGCCGGACGACAAACAAACACAGACACACATGCAGTGATGTGGCTCGGTCGGCCACATCTACAAACAAACTGCTGTGAGAGGATAATGTGGACACAGAGGGAAGTGATCTGGAGCCAGAAGACGACTGTGTCCTGTGAACTGTCCCTGAACTGACTCCTGCTCTGCCGTCTCAGCAGATCAAAGGAACGCCACTCCAGTCTTTGGTGTCACCTACAGTGTGTCAGCGTGGAGGTGGGGGGTGAGTGTGTGTGTGTGTGCGTGCATGAAAACACTCATGTTCACATTTTACTCTACCATTAATTCCCACCTCACAAAAACGGACTGGAGCCTGGCCTCGCAGCCCACGTGGAGTCGTGGAGCGCTGGTTTTTTGTCTCTGCCTCAGTGACTTGTAAAGATCAAAGAGTCTCACAGATGATAAGGAACAGATTACAATTATTCTATCATTTAGTTCAAAGCATCGCAGAGTGGAATGAGCCTCAAGGACCCAATACGCTTAGGTGGCGCTCTATGGACACGGCCGGCGTAGCGTTCCAAAACAAGCGTTATCAAAGGGAGTGATCTGACGTACCTCCCTGGTTTGAAAGGACGCTCCTACCCCTGGTCTGCTCGCATCTGTACACTTGGTTGCGTGCTTGAGTTCATACTAAAGTAGTTGTGTTTTGAAGGCGGCTCAGATACTTCCTGCCGCCTCCGATTATTCAACGTCAAACAAGGTTTCCTACATGAGAAGGAAATGCTGCCGCTTCTTTTTCTTTAAATTCCATAAACAATCCCATTGTCCCAGCCCACAGCATTCTCCTGTCCACGTCACCAGCCTGACGTTCAGACCGCAGCCTGACTGAGACCCCCGGTGGCCGGGGCAGAGAGTGACCCTGAAAACATCCCAGGATAAAAAATACGGCCGAGTTGTGAGAGGAGCAGAAGTGGAGAAAGGTGCGTGTGTGTGTGTGTGAGAGTTCCCAATGCTAATTGATTCCAGCGAGCTACGCTCCATCACACCCAACAGGACAGCCCCCACCCCCACCCCTTCCTCCCCCCTACCCTGTGCCAACACGTCTCCCCCAGACAGAGGGGGAGGGGGTTATAATTAGGCCCAAGGTAGGACTGGGGGAGAGAGGGGGGGGTGCTGGGTGACATATCTGTAGTCCAAACTGTAGTACTCACCGTGGGTTTGACCAGTAACTGGCCCATGACGGTGAACATCCTGGACAGGCCCACAGGAGTGCACACTAACAAGGACACACACAGGTCACACAGGTCACACAGGTCACACAGGTCACCACTGGAGTGACACACATGACTTATCAACCAGTCAAAGTCAAAGTCTTACTCAGAAGGAGCAGCCCCCCCATCAGTGATATGCAGGAGTACAGATACGGCAGGTAGAACTCCCAAAGATCTAAAAGGAAACACACACACACACACACACACACCTTTATTTCTGTTGTTAAACTTTCCACTGTCGTTAGACTTCAGTCTGATCTTAGTCCATCTGTTAGTGTTTTTATAAAATTATTGATCTTAACTTTTATAGTAACACAAATATATAGACTATAACTTGACTTTGTTCAGTTAAAGTCACCTTTAATCAGAGTTCTTCTTCTTTACTTCTTTAACTTCTGGTTATATTCTAGTATAAATGACAAACGTTTACTACGTTTATTTGAAACTTTTCTACGACCTTTATAACCTTCTGTTTTTTATTAGTTGTTTATTTCTATTATTATTTCCAGAGTTTTAAACCTTGGTCTTTGACCAAACTGACCGTAGAGCGACTCCATACTGGCGGCGTCGTTGTCGATGAGCGCCGACGCCACCCACACCATACCAAGGATGAGCAGAGCCAACAGGAAGAGCATCACGAAGGTCTCCAGAACACGAGCCCTGATGCCCTGGGGATTCAAGACAACATGAGCCACACCCCTCACAGTAAACACACTTCTTCTTCTTCTCCACTAGGGGCAGTGGTGGCACAGTGACACGTTGTTCTTGGTGGTTTTCATGAACAGCCGTGCTCCTGCTGCAGAGTCAGTTCCACTCACAGTGTGTAAAACACACACAGGCCCGGAGACAGGGATGGGGGAGGGGAGGGGGGAGGGGGGGGGGGAGGGGGGGGGGAGAGGATGATAGGATGCTGGGGGGGTGCCATAAGAAGCTAGGTCAGCTACCGTCTGCGATCGAGAGCAGGCCTCCCACCTGGAACCGATTAGCGCTCCTTTAACAACAGGGCCGTGCCCCAGGCTCTGAGTGGTTCTGGGGGTCATTTGGGTTTTCCGGGTCACAAACTGCTGAGTGGTTAATAGAGTTCTCCTCTACCTGTTCTACCAGGTTCTAGAACTGTACCATAGACAACTAGGGCGCCCCCGATGCACCCCCCACCCCTTCCCGACCCCATGGCTACATACTGATGGATCTGGGTCTGGAGCGCCCCAGTGTGGCCACAGTGGACACTGCAGCCAGAGGGAAGTCATTTTTAATATGACAGAAGATCAGAGAGCCACACACAGGGCTGTGACCCACATCCTTCACACTGGCCCACTCGCATGGACTGTGGGGAACACGGCTGCACGGAGAGCAGAAGGAGAAGAATGCCCCC